CTGTACGCCTACATAATGCCAAATTTACATTGAAAGAAACTGGGATTTTAAAACCATTGTCAAAAAAAAAAACTGTAGAAAATACATCTCAAACACTTATACTCTACGTTTTCAACTACAAAACTGTCATGAATACCAAATACCTTTTAAGTGTAAACTTAATTTAAACATCTTATCATCTGTACGTGCTCTGTTTTTATATGGATTTATCTATCGTATGGGGACAGTTGCAACCTGTCAGCCATGATAAAACCTCATGTGTTAGCTAAATAAGCTGATCTGGAAACATGTTAACTACATCAGTTAAAAGTCAACATATCACTTGCTTAAACCTTATGTTTGAGCTGGATCACAAAAACAGTGACAACAGTATAACAAAAATAAAGCTGGGCAAAAAAATTACTTTGGTACCTCAAAAACTGTTTTTTTTTTTTTTTCAAATAAATCCTGGAGCAGTTTTTGAAACTGCTTAGCTTTTCTCTGCAAGGTGGGACATCTAACTGAGTATGTACAGTGTGAGTGTCATCACTCTAGCTTGTTTCTGTTTGGAGAAAAATGACGTGTTGCAACCATCCCTTGTTGCTTTTGTCACCAGTCTCMGCTAAGTGAATCCTCATAAGAGTGAAGGTTCACTWTACTTACTAACTAATCAAATAGAAGTCAYTATCAGGAGTTTTCCCTCATGTAAAAGTTATGATTTGCTTACATTGCATCATATCATTAATAACAAACTTTTTCAACAGTCACACAATGACGCATGTCAACATCTAATATATGACCAGACTGTAAGACATAAAAAGTACAACACAGTAATGTTCACTTTAAAGCAATGCACATTTTCTGTTTCTTCGAGTGAGTTTGTTTTTAGTCACTTTTATCAAGCAGATAAATTTTCCTTGTTCAACATATTGATTTTTTGATTTGCTGTATTCTGTCAAATAGTAGTAATGTACTCAGTGGAAAAAAGTGCTCTAGTGCTGAACGCCACATTTTTTCCTCCTGAAAAATTCTACATTGGTGGGTTTTCTAATCTTCCTCATGCCAAGTACTTCTTCATATTTTTGTGTTTTCTTTACATCATWACTCTACTWGGAAATGGTTTTCTYCTGTCTGTTATTTACTTTGTAAAAAATCTTCATACTCCCAAGTATATAATTGTGTCTAAYCTRGCTTTCACAGATTTGTGTGGGAGCACTGCTCTCATCCCTCAAATGTTGGACACATTTTTATTTGACAGGAGATATATTGCCTATGAAGCTTGTTTAAGTTACATGTTCTTTGTTTTTTTCTTTGCATGTGTRCAGTCATGGACACTTGTGACAATGGCATATGACAGATTTATAGCAATTTGTTTCCCTTTAAGATACCACAATTTTGTCAGTAATAAATCTGTAGTTATTATGCTGCTGTTTTCATGGCTGTTTTGGACAAGTTTTATGACAACTACAGTTGGGTGTATAACTCGCCTTTYTTTTTGTGGATCTTTAGTGATACAAAGCTCTTTCTGTGATCATGGTCCATTATATCGTCTGGCCTGCAATAATACATTTTTAAATAACATATTAGCATATATTCTCTTCATTGTAGCCATTTGTATTCCTCCCACACTGATAATTGTAACTTATGTTTGTATTTCTGTYKCAYTGAGCAGGACTACATCAAAGAATCAAAGACTTAAAGCACTGAAAACTTGTACTTCTCACCTGATTATTGTTGCTCTTTTCTTTCTACCACTGATGGGCACCAATATAGCTGCAGTCAGTTTTTACATTCATCCCAATGCTAGAATCATAAATGCTGCTTTAACTCACACAATTCCTCCTTTACTTAATCCTATTATTTACTCCTTRAAGACAGAGGAAGTGTTGAATGCTATGAAGAAACTTTACAAAAGAAACAAACTAAATGTGATAAAACAGTGACGTCTCAATTTTTAAGTAGTTGCATTAAAATGATGTGTATTTCAAAAATGTATAATTTGTATTAGGGTGGCAYTGTGGCTCAACTGGTGGAGCTGATGCCTCTCAGCAAGAAGGTCACTGGATCAAATCCTGGCCTGCGGACATTTCTCTGCCAATTTTACATGTTCTCTCTATGCATGTGTTGGTTTTCTCCAGGCACTCCTCCCGCAGACCAAGCACACAGGTTAATTGATAACTCTAAAATTTCCCTTGGTGTGAGAGAGAGAATGAATGGTTGTTTGTCTCCTTTGTCTCTATGTGTGGCCCTGTGATGGAATTGCGACCTGTCCAGGGTGTACCCTGCCCCTCGCGCTGTGACAGCTGGATATAGGCACCAGTGACCCCCAAGACACTGAAAGGAAGAAGCGGTATAAGGGATGGATGGATTCTCATCATTTACTGTACGGTACTACTACTACATTATACTTTCTTGACTGTGAGAAATTATTTCTTAAAAACATAGGAGTTGCAGTTTAGAGTAATTATTGGTTTTCCTTCAAATTGTGTGTAAACAGGCTTTTGTTTGATTCAGCTCACAGTTCATCTTGTGTGCAATGAGCTTATTTTAGGTATACAAAAATGACTGCAATCTTGATGTTGATGTTTCAAAATGGCCTCAATAAGGCCTCCCAAAATCCAACAAAGAAAAAGAAATTCTTAAACTGTTTCCAACTGATTCCACATCAATCACTCAAATTCAGTCCTACATCACTATCACTGTCCTCAGTTGCCAATATTGACCCCCCTAAAAAAAAAGATGAGTATGTTTTCCTTTAAAAGAATGTTTGATGACTTGTTAAAGTTAGTGTCAGTCTAGCATTTTATATCTATATATTTTATGCTTGTTCATAAGTTAGCTGTGTATTTCATATATTTTTCTTGGATTCGGTTTTTGGAAGTTCATCCGCCATTTTTATTATCCACAGTCTGTTTTCAAATAAATGCAGATGTTCATTCAGCCTTTACTTGTGTCCTTTTTTTAAGCTACTACTCTTTGTTAGGTTATGGAGATACATCTTACAGCCTTTTAGAGAATATCATTAAAAATCGTATTTTGTTCTATTTATAAAATTATTAAATGAGTAAAAAATAACTAAGATAAGATAAAACTTTATTGGTCCCACAGTGGGAAAATTTGCACATCACTGCAGCTTAATACAGGAGAGGCTGAGAAGAATAATGAAATATGAATAAAAGATAAAATAACTTGTTTGAAGCAAAGTGACAGAAGATAAACTGACAGGATGCAGTAGTGCTGTTGGACCACTGGACCCTTTGTCTGGCCGTGTGTCTGTTAGAAATCTTGGGGTGA